TAACCAGAAGCTCACAAAGTATTACTACCACTACTGTTCCCATTACTGTGAGCACTACTTGTACTTACTAATCACGAGGAGGACAAGGAGCAGGATGAGGAGACACATTGAGATCAGTAGTTGTAGTAAATATCCTAGTTGACTATGGTGCATGTAGCGTTTTTCCTCCACACTAGGGTTTCACTTGTTCCCAGCTAATTTGTTGGCTGTCTTTAGAGAGTCCCCAGTGAAAGAGCATTTCGACATGCTGTTACAGATAAGTATTTGAACTGAGCAGTCCCTGCCTGACTTTGCAGTCAAAGTTATAGTGCCCCGATCAGATAAAAGCATGAAAGCAGTCAATTCCCCTACAGAACTGGGTTTTAACAAAGCTTATTTCTCTCAGGATAAGTGTAACTCCCAGGCATAGAAGCAAGCAGCCCTGGAGGGTAATGGTGGTCATTCCCACAGTCAGAGATGGAGGAAAAGGGAATAACCATCCCCACCCTGTACAACTATTAGGGGGTTAGAGAAAATGCATGTGGCTGCTTGGCACATAGTCAAAACTTAATAAATGGTGGAGACAATGAAGATGATAGGGACTTGGCAATGGAGTGATAAAGGGCCTCCGTGGCCTCCGTCCCTATGGATGTGGGCTCTGGCTTTGAAGGGTTTCACCAAGCCTGCCTCATGGACATGGGGCCATAATCCTGGGAGCAGGGACCAAGCTACGGAAAGGAGCATTCAGAGAGAAAGGGGATCTGTCCCAATCCTCCTCTTGCCCACAGGCTGCAGGCAGATGCTGTTGCAGATGGAGACACGGAGGCCAGATCAAGCTTGCAATGCAATTATAGGCCACACAGATGAGTGGAAAATTCACTCAAAGAAACACAGATGAAATGTAAGTACTGTGAAAAATATGACCCCTTGGGTTAGGCTCCTGTTTGAGGGACATACACACAGACACACACAGTCACATACACACACGCACACATACACACACCTGTATGTTGATTATAACATGATGAACTCCAACACTCCTGTCCCCTTCCCCCCAAAAAGGAAATGCATTTCCTCCAGCTTGGCTATCGATTTTGAAGAGGGCAGTGTGACCAAGAGACTGCCTGATCAGAACTGAAGCCATCAGAAACGTGGTATGGGCAGAAAAATGCGTGAGACTGAAAGGAAGAAAGCCATGCCTCAGCCGCACGTACCAGTGGGAACTTTCCATGCAAACAACCAACAGGAAGCAAGAGAGCTGCCGGTACCCTCCTCCTCCTCCTCTCCTTCATTCAGGTCTTGCGAATCATGACCTGTGACCAGATGCACATTGTACCTGCTAGCACTGCTTGTCACAACCCATGCCAGGTCCCAATCACACCTCTGCACAACACAGAAGAGCTAGGGTGCCTGCCAGGCGTGGGCCGAAGCAGCCACTTAATGCTGTCAACTGCCCTATGAGGTAGGTGCTACCGTTCTTTTCATCTTCCAGACCAGGCGCACTGACTCAGAGTCTCAACCATTTGCCCGAAGCCCCAGCCACTAAGTGACAAAGCCAGGACAGCTGACATGGAGGTCCCCACGTGCCCTGCTTTGCTGTGCGGCCTGAGGGCGGCGTCTCCGAGGGCTGCTGCCGTGTGGACCAGGCCCTCTGCATCACCCTAAGTGGATAGGCCGCCCTCTCACCCTGTCTCCCTGGTCTGCTGGGAAGTTGACTTAAGGAAGGAAGTATGGGGGAGAGAAAGGGAGTGTCCTGCCTCAGTTTCTCTGCCTCGGGAGATGCCGATGCTCCCCACCCGGTTTACGGGTTCCTCTGTCCTTGGTGACATGTGTGTAACACTTGGCGGTGTCCTGCCACCCCCGGGAACCCTCCCTGGCAATTCCAGTCCCCAGCCACCGGCACCCTATTAATTTTTCCTAGTAATTCTGTCCAGGGACATGGTGTCTACCTCCCACGAGGACTCAGGACAGTCCTCATTCAACTGTCACATGGCTCTTCCCAGCCAGTAGTACTTAGACCTGCGTCGCCTGACACGGTAGCCACCAGAGAGAGATACGGGGCCATTGAGCGCTTGAAATGTGCCATGTACTCTAAGTATGGAATCCACTGGAAAGCGCAGCCTTAGTCCTAAAAAAAGACCATGAAGTAGCTCATTAGTAATTTGTTCATATTTATTTCATGTAGGAATAATATTTTTAACATCTTGACCCAAATAAAATACATTATTAAACATAATTTCACCTATTTCTTTTTCACCGTGTTTCATGTAGCTACTAAAACTTTTATACAGTTAATCTTTGGACAAAATGGTTTGAATTTCACCCGTCCAGTACTGTCCACATATTTTCTCTTCCTTATGATTTCTTTTTTTTTTTAAGATTTTATTTATTTATCTGACAGAGAGAGACACAGCGAGAGAGGAACACAAGCAGGGGGAGTGGGAGATAGAGAAGCAGACTCCCCTCCGAGCAGGGAGCCTGATGTGGGGCTCCATCCCAGGACCCTGGGATCATGACCTGAGCTGAAGGCAGACGCTTAACGACTGCGCCACCCAGGCGCCCCTTTTCCTTATGATTTCTTAATAACATTTTCTTCCCTCTAGCTTGTTTTACTGTAAGAATACAGTATTAGAATACATGAAACATACAAAATATGTATTCATCAACTGTTTATGTTTTCAGTAAGGTTTCCCTAGCAGTAGAGGGCTATTAGTAGTTAACTCTGGGGGGAGTCAAAAATTATACATAGGGGCACCTGGGTGGCTCAGTTGGTTAAGCGACTGCCTTCGGCTCAGGTCATGATCTCAGGGTCTTGGGATCGAGCCCCGCATCGGGCTCCCTGCTCGGGGGGAAGCCTGCTTCTCCCTCTCCCACTCCCCCTGCTTGCGTTCCCTCTCTCGCTGTCTCTCTCTCTGTCAAATAAATAAATAAAATCTTTAAAAAAAATTATACAAAAATTTTCGACTGTGCGGGGGGTCAGTGCCCCTGACTCCTGCGTCATTTAAGGCTCAACTGCAGTTTCCTATGTGGTTTGCACTACTTTTCAACTGGACAGCTCCGACTGAGGCCACGGCATCTCCCCCAGCCCCCTACACCGTCCTAGCTCCCAGTCCACGCCAGGCAAGCTTCTGAAGATCTGATTTTGTCGTCACTGCTGCCACCTCTCCCCTGCGAACTCAAGGGCACAGGCTGCCCAGGTGACAGGTCCCTGGGGTCAGGGAGTTAACCCAAAGCACCCTCCAGAGGCAGCTCCAGGTACACCTGCCTTAGCTGTTTCCCTCTCAGCATACAAGATCAGAGGTGAGTCAGGGACAGGGCAGCATTGGGTTAAAAAACCCAGAAAATCCACAGAAGGCCCTTATGAACTTTGCCTCTAAAGGAGTTTTGAATAATGAACAGGGGAAATAAAAACTCAATTTGCAAAAATAAAAAAAATGAGAGAGAGAGAGAGGAATTAAACTAAGTTGAAAAAAATAACTTCTTGGGGCCGACAAACACCAGAGGAGAATTTTCGAAAACATATTATTTTAGTTTCTGGGGTTTACCAGGTAGATTGACTTGGTGATAAGGGGCTGTGAAAGCTATTTTCTCGGCCTCAGCAGAAGTTAACCACCTCAGAATGCCTCAGTATTTAGCTCTGCAGCCGACAGCAGACATGTCGGGGGAAAAGCAAGATAAATGAATGAACATACTGGATCAGAGCCCCTAGCAATCTGTACAGCTCCATCCCGCGGGGTCCTGATTAACACGGAGGCCCATTTAGAAATCTCATGTCGTTTTTCAGGGACCAGGACAGCAGCCAAAGTTCAAGGACGTGGAACCCGATGTCAGTGGCCCCACAAACAGGCAGGAAAATTTTAACTGGGTTTTTAGCCAGGCAGACACAAGGGAAAGCGAGAGCTTTTTTTTTTTTTTTTTTCTTTTTTTCTTTTTCTTTTTTTCTCATCTTCTCCTATAAGTTACTTCCAGCCCCCAGGGCCCAACCCCCAAAACCCACATGCTCACAGTTGTCACTCATTTTTGCCCTCGGTGGAAAGCAAAGCAAAATCGTTTATTTATGTTCCTTACCATGAGACCTAGCAAATGACACACTTATAAACATTTGTTCTTGCAGGGAGAAAGAGAAACCTAATTTCTTTTGTGACACTTGTACAATCCCACTGCGTTTGGATAGTTTTCTGAGACGAGCAATAAAAGCTCTGTCTTCAAAGGCTGCTTTGTTCTTGCCTTTTCTCGAAATGAAGGTACTCTCGAAAACATGTCTAGAAAATGCTCATGAATTCCACGTGACACTTGGGTTCTCTCTCCCCTCCCCCTGCCCAGCCTCCCAAGGTAAATTGCTAATTTCCTGTCAGACCCCAACCCCCGCCCCCCCTGCCCCCTATCTGTAATATTGCTCTTCTAGCCATCAGGGAGAGGAAAATGCCTTATATTAAAGACTGAAAGATCCGAGTGACAGGTTGGAAGGTGTTGATGGGATTCACAAGTCTGAGTGTGTCCCTGGCCCCGGTCGTTTGGTCTGCATAGGACAGTTGTCATTCTGACCTCTGCCGTACTTCCGAGAATATATCAAAGCGAAATTCCTTGGCTTCCTCCTTTATCAACCAACAAACCTGTGTAGAGGGAGACTGTATGCCCTGCTTCTAGACAAAGACACTGAAGAAGCCAGCCCATTCCTGAGTTGGGCAGGGCTACGGAAACCTCCGAGGCTGGGGCTCAATGGTTGAACCCGAAAGCAAGGGTTCCCAGCCTCAGCGGGTCCGAGGAATGATGACACCAAAGATATGCCATGCTGCTGTGTGAAATACTCAAACACCCCCTCCTCCTCCATTAGCCCAGGGGTGGGCTTTAATCTCTTGTGAGAATCAAAATACACTCAGTGAGCCATAAATTTGGGAGCCAGCAAAACGAAATAGTCACGTGTACAGTGTGTAGAGCCAGAAAGACCTGGGGTCAAATCCCAGCTCCTTCAATTACTGCCCACATGACCTTGAGTCATTTATTAACCTCTCAGAGCCCGGCTGTCCTAACCTATAAAATGAAAGTGTTAGCACCTGTGATCGCGACGCTGAGGCAGTGATTTCCGACAGAAACACGCTGACAGCTGCGCTGCAAGCCCGTATGTAATTCGAAATTTTCCAGCAGCAACTTGCAAAGAGTAAAAAGGAAACAGGTAAAATTAATTCCTAATTTTAATTACATCGTTTGTTTGGCCTCCCTGAAGCTCAAAATTTTCCTATGGTCTACCGCAAGAATTCTGTATAATATCAGAATTCCTTTTCTGAAGAGCTTCCTGTAGAATCCCAGTCTGTGACAGAATTGGTCCCCGAAGCGTGAGCCTTGGGCTAAGTTAGTCAGAACTCTCCCTCAGGTCTGACTGGCTCCATGTTTTTAGCCACCGGGGCTCAACTGTTACTGGGAGGGAGGGGGAGTACAGGATTGGGTGAACAGCAGACGCCATGACACCTCCATCATTTTCCCTGAAAGCAGCCCTAGTCTACTATATTAGTGTCCCAGGGCCAGGGCAGTAAGTACCACAAGCCAAACATAAATTTACTCTCTCATTTCTGAGGCTAGAAGTCTCAGGTCAAGGTGTCACAGGGTCATGCTTTCTCAGAAGGCTCTAAAGAAGGATCTGCTCCAGGCCTCCCTCCTAGCTTCTGGGAGTTCCTTGGCTTTTGGTGACATAATATCTTCACGTGGCCTTGTCCTTATGTGCATGTCGGTCTCTGGGTCCATATTTCCCTTTATTATAAGGACACGAGTCATACTGGATTAGGGCCCACCCTAATAACCTCATCTTACCTTAATTACCTTCTATCTCCAAATTAGGTCAGTTCTGAATTACTGTAGCTTATGAATCCTGCATATCGTTTTTGGGAGACACAATTCAATCAGAAGTGTCTTTGCCTGTGTCCCCCAACCCCAGCTAAACTCCCCTCCCCACTCCCTCTGTAGTTTGGAGCTTCTTACAGCTCAGCTGGAAGCTCAAATGTCTCTATTTCAGAAAAGGGTCTTGTCTTTATATTTCCATAATTAAAGGCTTCAGTTGGGTGTCTTTCCCAAAGCAAAGAAATCGTTTACCCCAAAGGAATTTTGACATCACCACTTCTTTCCAGATACTCAGTTTGGGTTTTGGAAGGCAGGTTGGGTGTTTCCCATTGCTTCTTAGCTTCAGCCCAATAAGATTTCAAAAATGTTAGGGTCTTCCTTTCTGCTTAAGTACACTGTGACATTAATATAAATTTATTTCATAAGTCCAAATGATTAAACATTTGTGAATACAATGAAGTCAGTCAATGAGAATAATGAGGCTGCTTTGACGAACATAAAAATTTGAAATCTGGGTTTATGGAAGAAAACGGCAATCTTCTATCAGCCCCAGCGTGTAATTTACTACTGTATTTGATTTAAGTTGCATAAAATGGAGACAATCTTGATTCATATCAGTAAAACTGACACCATTTGCAGCTTCATAGCACATGCTGCAATCTCAGAATAGTCTTCAATTAAACAGCTATGGTCAGAGTTTTATTTGGAGAATTGATCGGGTTAGCACAAGTTAACCCACTGAAGGTCGACAACGTGTTAAAATTTAGCGTAAACCAAATTTGTGTGTGCCGATGTAATTGTATTACTGCTTAAAATATGTAATTTGGAAAATTAAATTTAAATTATTTACAGAGCTCCTGGAACTCTTCTGTAGTGCTGAGGGGCTCTTTGGAAGAACATAATTACAAAGTCTCTGACCTACTCAGCCAGGTCCAAGCTCACCTGCATTTCCCTTTCCCCTCCAACCTCATTCCCCTTTGCTCCCCCTCCTGGCACTTCCAGCTTCAGGAGGCTGACTTCCCAGGGCCCTTAGTTAAGTGTTTTTCAGGTGTTCTGTGTATGCTGCACCCCTGATGGAATCTCAGCTCTCCCCTGACTAGAGTCCTGCCCGTTCTTCAAGTTCAAGTCCATCTGCTCACCTTCTATCCACCATCGCTTGTTGCGGTCAGGCATCTGCTGCAAACTGCCGAGCACAGTAAAGATGAGCAGCCCACAATGGTGTCCTCCCTATGGCATCCGCAGAAGCATGAGCAGGGGAGAAGGGCAAGATCAGGCATTGCAACGCAGAGAGGCTGCAGTGTCGGGAGGAAGGTTCAGCTACCTGGAGGGTCACAGAGCAGCAAGGACCTAATTCAGAGGCCTCCAGCACCCCTAGATCCTGGAGATCCGGGAGAATGGAAACTTCTGGTTGCTGCCAATTTTTCACTTTGCTGTTCATGAATTTATTCACAAGTTTTTGCTTTGTTTTAGCCTCCTCCCCTTCCCCCCCTAATTTCTTCGGGGACAGACCTTCAAACGCCTTTGCAGGCTTCTCAGTAACAGGCACAAGGGTAGGCCCATAAATGTTCAGGAAATACTTGTTGGCTGATGTTGCTGATCAACAGGATAAACAAAAAGATAATTGTGGGTAGGAGCAGAGGAGGAGACCATTGTAGGCAGAAGGCTTGGGGAGGGGGTGCCCAGAAGACTCTACGGTATAGAACAGAAGGTCACATTGGCCCTCCCAGTGTGGCATCTTGTACGGACACACCTGGTTGAGCTTTGAGCCCTGGCTCCAGTGATGGTGTAGCCTTGTTCTGGTACCTTTTATTCTCTCACATTTCCTTGAATTCAAAAGTAAGATTTTGTACCTTCCCAACAGATGTGGCTGGCCAGTCTGGAGTCAGTGATGTTCTGGTAGATGATGTCCATTAGTCTGTGTGAGCTGGCCCAAGCGCAGCCCTGTTTGGAGTCAACGTTGCATGTTAGGGCTTGCATTCAAGAAGGCTTCTATAATCAGACAGGACATTCTGTCTTTGATTAATTTCAAATGTAGTCAAAAATAGAATATGCAAGAGCTAATTCACAGTACAAGACAGAGAGATTGTCTAATGCCTCACTTCCTCCTGTCTGTTTTGATGAGTAAATAATGACAGACTAGTTTACAGATGAGACAGATCAAAACCAAGAACAAGATGCTGTGCTTTGCAGGACTCTGTGAAGGTCTTGGCTCCCAGGTGTCTCATTATGTTTGAATTCCAGAAGCAAAGGCCCTTTTAAGATCCTATACAGTGCAGACCAGCTTGTAGAGCATGGAGCTTATAGAAGTTCAGGTTTTAGTCCATCCCAACCCCACTCGCAGATTCCAATCCAATAGATCAGCAATGAGGCCCATGAATGAGCACTAAAGTTTAAGAAAAACTACTCTACAGAAAGGCTTTAGGGGTGCCTGGGGGGGCATAGTCGGTTGAGTGTCCAACTCTTGGTTTTGGCTCAGGTCTTCATCTCAGGGTTGTGGGATTAAGCCTTGAGTTGGGCTCTGCACTCAGCATGGAGTCTGCTTGAGATTCTTTCTCTCCCTCTCCGCTTGCCCCTCCCACTCATGCTCTCTCTCTCAAATAAATAAATCTTGAAAGAAAGAAAGAAAAAGAAAGAGAAAGAAAGAAAGAAAGAAAGAAAGAAAGAAAGAAAGAAAGAAAGAAAGAAAGAAAGAAGAAAGAAAGAAAGAAGAAAGAAAAAAGAAAGAAAGAAAGAGAAAGAAAGAAAGAAAGACTCTGGGGAGAGATGCAAGAATGTTCATGCAATAAGCTATTATTCTGAGTCTGAGGAAACAGTGACAAACAAACCAGATGCAAAATTTAAGATTTAATAGGGAGAAGCTATGTTAAAACCTATGTGGGTTCCCCTTTCCCACCCACTCCACACCCACCCTTATTCTATCCCTGACCCCACCGACTCTTACTACAGGAGCCTATCTCCCCAGATGACTGCTGGATCTGCCTTTCCAAGGACCAGAGGCCTGGACTTGGCCTGTGTGGCTCATTGGAGCTCCGCCCCAGGCCAGGGGTGGGAGCAGGAGATGCGCTCAGCCCCTTGGCCCTGCCATCATCTTGCTGTAGGAGCCAGAGAGAACAGGAGCCGCACATGCCAGATTCCCAACAATTTTCAGAGACACAGGCCTTGGAAAGGAGGAGGCTCTGTCGATACACATCCACAGTCGGAGACAAAGCTCTCTCAGAAAGACAGTTTCACATCAATGTCCCAGCATCCCACCTTTGACAAGGTCAGCGCAGGTTTTTATTATCCACATCGTTTTCCCTTTTCAAGGTCACCAGTTCCCACTCACCGGGAGTAGCTTAATGGGCTGCAGAGAATTCAAAGGAGTTGAGGTCTCTTGACTATACTTCAGTACCAAGTGTATAAAAGCTGCACATCAGTAACAGTTGTTGCTTTGACTGATGAGCCCACCTCCAAACCTGAGATAGTGATTCAAACTCCTCTTTCAATCCCTGAGCCATTGTCCATTTGATTTTGAAATGCAGATGGTGGATATTTTTGTTCTGTACCCAGATATCCTCCTTAGAAATCTTTTCCTGCCATGGAGGAAGAATCAATTCTCTGAAGTACATGCATTTAAAGCCCATCTGCTGGAATCCTCCTCTGACAGGCACCGCGGGGGTAGACACTCCTTATTTGTCTCTGTCTTCACCACTGCATGGCCCCAAACTCATGAATGGGATTCTTTGCTTACTTCCTGTAATTAATCTCCATCTCACTGGGAGAAAACTCTAGCTAGCAACAATGCAGTGTGTGTATCTGTAGGCAGCAGACACCACACCTCTTAGAAGCGCATGCACCGATCCACTGTCCCCACGTGAACCCCCTCTGGGTTTCTCAAACAAGACACCTTGGTGAGCAAACAAATGAGCCTGCGCATTGCAACTGGGCCACCGGGGTCCGTGAGCAATGGACCAGGCGTGTCTTGACGATGCATGGAGTGGGAGCTCATGGTGTGTGGGATCTGTGGAAGAGGAACAGACGGGGCATAGGCAGGGCGTGGCCGTGGGAAAGAGAAGAGGGCTTTTCAAAAGGTGGGTGTTTATTCCCTGAGGCCAACAGCAAACTCCCTTTTGGAGGAAGGTTAAAACAGTGTTTAGAGAACATGTTCACCTCCTTAAAACTCCTCTTGGCCTGCTGCCTTGGGCACCTGCTCTCCTCCTATCTCTCTGGCGGTTCCTGCTCAGCCTTTATCTGAAGACTCTTCTTTTACGGCATCTGTAGGACAGCCTTCCTCAAACCAGATATACTAAAAATGGTTGTGTATTGAGATCAGAGTGGAGAAGGCTGTCCCTTGTCCTGGAG